CGGAACAGTTGCTCCCTCTGGGCAAAAGTGCCCTATAGGGCACGGCCCGCCAATTTGTACGGCTGCTGCAGAGTACAGATTTTCCCAGAGCTGAGGTGACTGCTGAGGCCCAACGCCCGCGAGGCACAAATATCCCTCGGCACACAGGCCCACCGCCCGAGTCCCATCACAAGCTTGCCCCGATCCGCAGTCAATGCACTGCAACAGTACATGCATGCAGCGCATCTCCGCTTGTCCTAACAACTGTCCGTATACATCTCGTTCGGCTCCACATTCTTCTAAGAGGGTTGCAGAGGAACGCCTGTAGCTAGATGAGGCGCAAGTTCCGGGAAAGCCGTAAACCTGGGGCTGAAAGACGTGCTTACCTGGCCTTCTTCGGAAAGGCCTGTGGCGGTTGATTTGGTTCCCCCTGGACAAGGTTTGGGCGCATGCCCGAGCTCACAGTAGTGTGTGGAGGGACAGGCTTGAGGTTGCACGGCTCCAACTTCGCACGTGTATCCAGCTGGGCACGGTGAGCATTCGCTGGAGCCTAAAATGAGCCATTAAGTCCGCATGTGAATGAACAGGCGGTCTGTGTTCGTTCATCCGGTGGGCAGAGGGGTCAAGCATTGAGGGATATGAGCTCACCTTGCTGAACGCTAAATGTGCTGAAGGGACACGGCTTGGGCTCCGGAGAACCTTTTCCACGCGCAACGCAACATGAGCATGGCGTCGCATTAAGCCTCTGTTTGACAACTGCGCCGACATACTTCACCTTGCTAGGTTGTCAGAAATAGAGCGGTAAGCGGCACACTGTGCACATGCATGACTACAGCATTTTTGGGTCGTCAATCAAGCGATCTACCTTCTGGACAGTAATGGCCTTCGGGGCAGAGGTCTCCCGCCGCTTCCTGGATTGGGGTGGGCGTAGAGGAACCTTCTCTGCAGTAGAAACCTGCAGTCCGGTCAAGTGCAATCGGACCACGACAACACCAATGCTATGCAGACAGGGAGGCGCAGAAACTGTTGAGTCGGGGGGTTGGGGTAGTGCAGTTAGGAGACTGCTTGAAAAGCATCGTCTGCACCTTATACACTCATGATCGTGCTTCTACATTACTACGGCGATGCGAAATTTGGCGGTATTCCATCACTGTAAAATATACTGCGTCTTGCCTGGGCTGCAAGGTCCTTGGGGGGCACTGAGACCCCACCTATCACAGTACTGCCCTGCTGTGCAAGGTAAGCAGTCGCCTTCGTCTTCAGCCCCCCACTTCGGATTATATGTCCCTGGTGGGCACCTCTCGGGTGCTCCCTACAAAGAAAGAGGGGCCATGCCTTCTTTGCGGTGACTATACAGAACTAGGAGAGTGGTAGGTCCGACTAAGCCATTGGATGCAGCAGGGCAGCACTGCCCTTGTGCCAAGAGAGTCTGTGGAATATACGAAGGTTGAATGGGTTTACAGCTCACCATTCCCGTGGGGCAGTAGTGTCCCGGAGGGCATTTTCCACTGCCCTCTGGCCAGTTCTCTGCCTCATGCTGATGCGTTTTGGCGCCGGCTTGGCAGTAGAACCCAGCCGCGCACGCACCTGAGGGCTCCTCCAGGCCTTCACTTCCACAAAATTTGCCTGAAACGAAATGCGTAATGATTATAATATATAATCATTGGGCATTCTGTTTCAGGCAAATTTCGGGATCGAGCCAAAATTTATGACCGCTAGCTAGGGCGTGCGTCCATACTTGTTGCAAGCCCGAACTTACCCGCTAAAAAATATATCTATATTATCTATATTCATGAATGCTGTCTGACGGGTTTAAGAATGGAAGCGTACGTACCTGGGGGACAGAGCGAACACTGAGATTCTTCCTGTAAGCCTTGAACACGATTAAACGTGCCAGCAGGGCACTGTGTGGCTTCGGCTGACCCTTCGGGGCAAAAATTTCCTTTGGGACATTTCGTGCCTAGGCCACTGTCGTCCCCTGCGAAAGGAAACAGGCCTGTGCAGAGAATATGTATGGAGTGATGTCAAATACGTGCTGGCGAGAAGCAGCTAGGAGCCCGAAGTTCCCAAGGAGTTGTTATTCGGAAGATGCATAGGATGGCTCTGGGGATGCGATGGGTCATGCGAAC